CCCATTTGAACAACTTGTACGGTACCACCGGTACCACCAACCACAACCGCTTGTCCTTCGCTGAGTTGCTCCATGGTAAATCTTTGCTACAATAATAAAGAAAAAAAACTAACAAAATATTTTAGAGATATATATATTTCGCAAATAAGGCAAAAATAGATACCGGGAGATATCATTGATACAATCGTGTATTTATCATATTGTATCATCATTCAATTTGCATCACCGCTATTAGGTTAACGATGCGTGGAATTTACGAGGCAATTATAGAAATGCGATGCAGCCCGCCTACGTGGCGATCGCGCCGAGCGGGTCTGGACTGTTTGGAGCGGGCCATCTCGCTTGGCGTGAACCACGTGTGGTTTCGCGCGCGCGGAACCTGTGATCCCCAAGCCATATTTTGCAAATCGCGAGCAGAAACGAGACGAGTAATGAGCGTGTCGAAGCAGCCAGCGTCGCCCGACAAGTGGAATGCACCAGAATGCACACGCATGCACATGAAAGAAGGGATGCGCGTCTCGTGGGATTCGCGCCGTTTCGCGGCATACATTCCGAGACGTCTCAGTGGAGATCCGCGCGAGTGACGCCGAGTGACGCAGCCGCCGATGCCGCGGTCCGCGAACATATCGTCCGCAAGGACACGCGACGTTCAACCGCGACGAGGAAACCTGGTCGATCGCCATCGAACGTCCGTGGGGAAGAGAGCACGATATCGCCTCGGCAAACATGGCCGTGTGGCAATGGCTTTTTTGGCGTCGCGAAGGCGCTGGCTCGCGCGGAGAAACACGCGACGCGGCCGCGAAATCGGCGTTAATCGCGAATGTGGGCGCGCGACCATGCCGCGTATCGGGCTGATGTTTGATAATTTGTGAACTTACATTGGATATTTTCGTGGGCACTTTCCCAATTGGTCGACGAATTGAGGACCAATGGTCGGCGAAAGACCGTCCTCAGCTCTTGTGTATTGGTGGCACTGAAAGATGTGAACTGCCAGTCCGATGGCAGTCCGATCCAAGATCGGTCGATGCCCCTCCGCGCCTCTATGCGGACCGCCAATCGAGTTACGCGTCTCATCCCTCTCCCTTGAGGCGCGCAGTTTAAACTATGCATTTTATCGCTTTCCGAAAATTCATCTATTATTAATTTGTCTTAAGGACAAATTCTCTCTTGTTTCTTTCTGGTAACTCATCGTTTGTAAATCCATTTATATCATACTATTGCAGAACTGATATTGTACAATTTTTCATAGTTTGTTAATTGCTTAAAACGTTTAAAACAATTTCAAGTTCAAATCTTACATTCGGATTTGAAGATATAGCAGGATACTTTAATTTAAATTTAGGAAAATAATTAAGTGTAAAATTAAGTGAAAGGAAACAATCAACTGTTTACAATAAATACAATACAGTGTTTTTATTCGGCTTTCTTTTCTTCCTATTTGAACTATTACAACTTATAACAATTGAATATTTCTCAATAAGATAACAATAAAATCGAAACCAATATAAAACCAACGCACAATTTCATAGTTTTTATTGCTCAAATTTTCAATCGAACAATTTCAAATTCAAATTTTAAAAAAATTCGGATCTGGTGAGAGAGGTGTAACAAAATATTTTAAGCTTCAATTTAAAGGAAAATTGAATTACGTATTGTGAAAGAAATTAAAGAATTTTCTGTTTAGAATTAATTACAGTACAATTCCTCTACAGCACAAAGTTGCACAAAAGTTGCAGCAACATTGCATGTTGTAGCAATATTGCAGAGATTTTGCAGCGATATTGCTGCAAATTCTGTGCTGTATGGGTTTTTGTTTGATTTTCTTTTCTATTTAAAAAAAATCGAACAATTATATATATATATCTATATTTGAATTTTTCTTAATAAAAACAACAAAATTTTATCTGTTTAAAAATACATACATCCACACAAACACCTGCGTGCGCGCATATGCAAAGTAAAAATGTTTTCTAGCTGTAATTTATCGTCTTAGACTACAATTAGAGTTAAAAGTTTTAAAAAGACTTCAAAGAATACAAAAAATTTCAAAGGCTTGAAAAAGTACAAAAGAATAACATGTTGAAAGCAATGTTTCTCATTCTTCTTGTATATATATATATATATAATTTTGCATTAATTTAATAATTATACATCTATTACTATATAAATATTAATACTAATTACAAGTTAGTTAACATTTGTCACACTTATATCTATCACTGCAAAATAGAAAAATTTTTATTATTTATAAATAATTAGAACATTATGATCCACACAAACACCTTACATAATTTAACATCTTACATGATTTAATATATATATACTATATATATATATATATATATTGACAACACATATATATATATATATATATATTGTCATTCAAAATCCTTTACAAGTTCCTTGCAATTTTTGAAGGCAATAAATTTGCGTTAAATCTTTCTTCACAATAGTAAAAAAAATTATAATAATAATTACAAAATCATATAGTTATATAAGATTCGATTGAATTTATTGAACAATGATAAAATAGTATTCTTTTTCTTACTTTTATCTGAAGATATGTATACACGAAATGTATTGCATAAATTAGCACATTCTTTGGTCACTTTGGAATTGATTTTTCTTTTGGAAAATGTTCACAGTGTGATAGTTGAAAAATTATAGTTAACAGCTAATAATTAACAATGATCTCGTTTTATAAATTAAATTTCAAGGGTGCAAATAAATAGCAAAATTATATTTATCAATTCATTTTGAATAAACTTTATTTTCATAGAATTTGTATTTAATATCATATTTTATTAAAGATATAATGTGGAAGAGAGGCAAGTTGAAAAATCTCATTCGATATTTTTCCTAGAAAAACAACAGATTCGCAATTGGCCAAAAAATATGCTATTAAGTGTTTGCGTGGAATAGTGACAGGATAATCTGTGTGTATGCGCATGCGCGCACGCGTGTGTACTTATCGATAAATATTACAATAACAAATTAATTTTTTATATAAAAATTTCACATAGATGAAAGATTATGGCGCACATCTTAATAACACTAAACTTCAAAATAAAAAATAAAAGAGAGAACTGTATATCTATTTAACAATCGTGAAACTATTAGTACATAGCAAGCATAAACAGCAGTAATAATTCAACATTCTGTATAATACAATACATTCGATCTTTTATCTTAGCATAAGCTAGAATTGTAATTCGGACTTAAGTCAATATATTTCCGATAAATGTATCCTTTTTACGATGTTAAAATTCCAGTCAAATGAGATGAAATTATAAATTAATTTGACGGATATTCAACGATCACGATAGAAACGGAACCACCAAATCCTCCTTGTGTTCGACTTTTACATCGTCTAATGCTGTCACAGCCTTGTTGAGCATTTCTGTAATCTGTACATTTGATTTATGTATTATTTTCATTGTTGACAAACTTAGTACTCTTATAACGAAGAGAATACAAAAAAAATGAAGCAAAGTATTTACCAATTCTTGGTCTTCAGCAGCAAGTGGATCGGCAGCTAATGTTCGTTCTGGAGCAGGTATATCCTTAAGTAGGCAAGATGCAGCCTCGGGAAATTTAATTCGACCCGATTCTATTCTCTTTGAATACGCACGAGATCTGTCCATATATTCATGCTGTTCTAGATTATGAGTGTCTAATGCGCCTACGTCAATAACATTGCTGTAAAAAAATAATCACATCAACTTACAATTACTTTATAACATTTTCTACTAGGAAAACTAATAAAATTATATTATTCCACCAGGGTTATTTATAGTGGAGTTAAAATTACTTTTTTCATTAACTGTAGCTTAACTTTGTTCCTTCTGAATATTATATGTTCGCTTTTATGCGATATTTTTTATAATACTCAGTGCAGTAAATTCATGACAAAATGATATAAAGCAGCATTAACAAATTAAAAACAAAATTCTTATAGAAAAAATTATATCTTCAAAGAAAATATGTAATATGAATTATATATGTAAAAGAAATTAAAGAGTTAGAGTCAAGTAAAGAAAAATCATGTACAAGAAAAAATTTACTCACGCTGCAGTTTCATGTAAAATTCTATTCAATGCACTCTGTTCATCTGTCTTCTTAGGCACGGAACTTGCATATTGGTTAACGTAATCGTCACTGGCAAGAAGAAGATAAAAGATATAATCTGATCTTATATGCTTAAGAGAGCTCAAAATATTATATCGAACAAAAATATCTGCTTGATAAACATATAAAATAACTCACCTATGTACTCTCGGTACGTTTGTATTATTACTGACAGGATCTACCAGCAAATGTGTTCTTTCATTTGCTTCTCCATCCTGCAAAAAACAAGCATTGTAATAAATATTTAAAATATACAATTTAAATTTTGACTTTCTATTACTATAACTTCTTCATCATTATAACACAAATATATGTGATGTGTCATCAGGCGTTATCATTATCTTCGAGTAGGCGTGTTAACTGCGACAATCGTCATGCATCAGTGATAAGGAAGAAAATGTTGAAAGTGCAGTAAAACTGTCTTCGCAGTTATTTTACCTGCGGCCCGCTGTCCTCTTTACAAAAGCTGTAGCAACATCCCATGTTTGAACGGAATCGCACCAACGTGACCTTTCTCTATGAGCAAGGTATATCCGTTATTGCAAACAATCGTTCATTTTTCCGTTCCGGTAAACAATCAGGTGAATCAGCTGTGTCGCCGCAAGATTCTACGTATATACATACACAAACATAACTCTATAAATAAATGCTGTTCTAACAAGGCGCATGCAATTAACTGACGCGAAAACGACGAAAACTCGGGGACGTGATGAAACCGGGTACATGCAACGTCCCTAGTGGAACTCGCCCTGTACTACTTGAAAACATAACCTTGTTTCTGCCGACATCACGTCAAACTCAAAGTGTCGCAACGATATACGAAGAATCGATATTAAATTTCCTCCAGCGGAATTAACTTGAGAAAGCTGATATTTATGTCGGTATCAATTTTTTTAATTTCGCTACTTTGATAGATACACATATTACGTCGCTATCATGTCAGGTACAAAGGTAAGTTCGAGATCGATAATAATATTTAATTTACGTATACCTAATTATGTCTATCTACGTGATAAATAAAGTTTACCAGTTTACTGTAGATATTTATTTCTTTTCGTTTTAGGAAGTAACAGAGCTGCAAGCGTTTAAAACAGTCTTTTATCACAGTGTGGTGATACTCGCGCTACCTGTGATCGCTTTTTTTACAAGCAAAATTTTTGTCTTTGATGGTACGAAACGTGTATATATATATATATGAAAAAATTGCAATGAACACTATAGCAAGTTTACAGAGAGGAGATAACTATCAAAAGAAATCATATTTCCATATATTTCTTTTGTGGAACCTCTATGAATATTTTAGACCATTTCGCTTCCTTTAATGGCTTAACTAATGAATGGCTATAATGAAGACTTTGCTTTATTTATGTTTAGGTATATTAGGTCTCAGCATAGTATCAAGTAATGTGTATTCGGCTGGCGTTGCTGTAATAGTGTTACATATTGCCTTAGGAGTTTTTATATACAGAGCATACTTTGATGATCGATCAAGAACACCAGCGATTAAGAGAGATTAGTTTTTTATTATTAAGTACACCTTGGTGATCATACACTTATGACATAATCACAGTCAACACATTTGTCTTGGATAATATTAAGTGACATTGTAAAGTAAAACCTTTATATGTTGTCACAACAGTCAACGATTCTTTTTTCTTTAGTTTTACTTTAGTCAGTAATCGGTTGAAAGCCATTTGCAATTTGTCAAAATTAACAATTAATACTGTGTGCAATGTAATTTATATAGAAATGAATTTTCAATTCACAAAGCAACTTACATTCCACAACTTCAAACGTTACATATATGCATTACATATTTCCAGTATATTGTTCAATGTCCATACAAACATTAAAATATTACAAATTTTCATGTACAAATAAATGTACGGTGAATTAGTATGAATTTATGGTGTATAAAATTTTTTTCTTGGTAAAACACTTTTCTTGATGAAACACAGATTATTTTTATCTGTACAATTTTGTCTTTTATAAAACGCAAGTAACAATGGCAACATAAAGTTTTAGTGATTTTTATTCGTTTATTGAAGATAGACGCCCATATTCCCTTCTTTATATGTAAAGATTTTAAAATTTATGCCGGTTGCATACTTTATTTTAAATTTTATTCAAGGATGTGTTCCAAAACTCGACTCTATCAATTCAGAGTATCTTTTATCGTTATTCAATATTCGGTGAACAACAAAAGGATAAAATGGTAAGTTAACCGAGTTTTGGAACGCACTCTATACTTATAAAAAGAAAAATTTTTCGAATCTTTCAACCTACCACAAGTAGACTAAACAAACATAAGATTATTAATATAGACCGAATAATGATCAATTGATAAAATTCAATCGATTGCAATGTGGCAAAAAAAAAACGGTACCAAAACAAACATTATTTGATTTTTTTATTTCGAACAACAAAATTTGAAATAGTAAACAACTTTTTTTTAAATATTAATATTACTTGTTGGATAAAAATGTGACAATTTATATATGTTTCTACAGAAAGTTGAATGAAGCTTATTAAATGATATCTGATTCATAATATCTCAATAAGACTGAATGTTCAACATTAACTAATTGCCAGATATATAAACGGAAAATAAATGTTAATGATTCATCTATTACAAACATAAAAGTGTATATAAATATAACGTGACGGTGTGAAATGTATAAATAAAAGAAAAGAAAACGCATTACATATATGGTGAAAATTTTTATCATTCAAAAAAAGGAAAGTATTTTTAACACTCATTTTTTACATCTTGTTAATAGTAACTATATTATATATATATGTAATAATTTGCGATTCTTAAGTGCTAGCGATGTGGGAGCAACGTTAGGCGTAAGAATGAAATATGGACCACCTATCTTGCTTATTCTAGGAACAACTTAATTTTTGTGAATCTTCTGTACTGCAAATATAGCAATATAAATATTGTGAGATAAACATATTATGTCATTGTGTAGATGCCTACAAGTTATGTACAATGATATATCTAGTTGAATTAGAATTCTTTAGGAAATGAAATTTTTGCACTAAAAATGTTCAAGTCCAATTAAAACTAAAAAAAAATTGCAATAAATTCTTGTAACATCTTTGTAGATGTTAATCCAAAAATTAAAGCAAACTTAGCACAATTTCAAATAGCGAAATATTAATTTATTTAAGTATCATAAATGCAGAAAAAAAATGTGACAGAGTATTTACTGTCGAATATGCGAAAATGCTGGAATGAACAATTGTATTATTAAATATGTAGATCGCCAGCGAAATTATCTAGTTCATAATTTAATTTAGTCAATTATATCTAACTTGATTTTGTGCAAATTAATGCGAACAAGAAGTAATTGTTAGGTTTAAAAACATTTATTACATAAAAAGAATTTACAGTATATTTATTACAATATTTTTTATCAATACTAAAATATTGTACTAAACACTGTAAATTCTTTTTATGTAATAGATGTTACATAATCAATTTAAAAATTACCTGTTGCTCACATTAATTTGTACAAAATTGCAGCACTCGCTCTATACATTAAAAGTCACAATTTTTTCTACTGGCAACAGTTTTCAAAATCTTTTTGAAATATCTATTCTGTATAGTTCAATTATGTGCACTTAGAAACGTACTAAAAACTTAAAAAAGAAAAACAATTTTCTTCTTTATAAAGAAGTTTCAATAATTCGCGATTATGTTTCTCCAATTTATTCAGATTATAATTATTTTTGTAATAATATATATATTAAGAATGCCATAACGAGCTGCTTTTAAGCAAAAGAATTTTTTTTCGCATATTACATGAATTCACAAATTTACATCATCTCTTTAGTTTCTGCGTAACACGCTTATACTGATGATTGTATGTATATATATCATTAAATAGCTTAATTTGAGATTAATAAATGTTACGAAGAAAAAAATAAACAACGAAACAGAAAAAAATTATATGTGCAAGACTACAACATGTCGAGCGTTTTCGTGACATGACTTATCCAAATGAAATACTTCCTATTTCAATTATAGTAGATTTAACATTAATAAAAACACATAAGTTGCGGCGACCGTTACTCAACATCCATTTTTTCTTCCTCTGTTTGCTGCTGCTGTTGATTGGACTGACTGTGATTGTTACCTTGGGCATTTTGATTTTGATTATTTTTTTGTTCATCAGCAGGTTTATCTTTTGGTTTTTCTTCCTTTGGCGGCTCTACTTTAGGTTTAGGCTTATTGAGAATAGGTAGTACCACACTATCCAATGCCTAAATAACGAAAAAATAAATTCAATAAGAGAAAATTGTTTATGATTACAGCTGATTTTTTTTTTTCAATTACTTGTTTCTCGGCCCGAATCTGCGCTACAATAACTGGTGGTTGTTGCGTGCGAAGTGTACTCGCAAGTAGAATACGTTTCTCCTCCAACCATGTCCATTTCTCTTGCACAGTTTTCTCAACTGTTTTGACTTCTTCCTCCGTCAAATGAGAATACTTGTCATCCTTTCCGTTCAATATTTTTATTTGATCCAGACTTTTCTTAGCCAGTTGTAACGCCACTCCCAATTCTTCAAATGCATAAGACCTCCCTTCAAATTCTGATCTCCTTTCCTTTATTGGTTCCCCTTGAGACTAATAAAATGAAAAACGGCGTACTTAAAAATTCTATTTCATAAAGGTAAGAATTGTTAAAAAATAAACTAGGAAAACTTATATAAGATATTATGATCGAGCGGAGATCCTCTCGTTATTGTTCTTCATGTATAAAGTATAAAGTAAAGACCGATTCCTAATGACGCTGTTCTTTGAGTAACAGCGATTCCGCGACAAAATTCGTGTGAGTCGTTTCAAGCATTGTGTCTCTTTCAATTATCGTAACGAAGTATAATAAATCTAAGTGTTGCGTTTCTAAACGGAGTTGTTTATTACACGTAAGTCTCCTGTCAGCGCGAATGTCCGAAAGAACTCGCAAAACGCACGAGCGGATCCGATTGACATAACATTATAAATCAATAATTAATATTTTATCAAATAATACCTTCAAACGCGTCAATCGCTCCGAATAGACTTGTCGTTGACAATCTTCTCCTTCTTCATAAAGCCAATTTTCAGTATCATCTAATGTACGACACAATGTTTCTTTATCCATTTCTGTAATGAATGTAGCTAATTGATCCTCTTCGGACAATTTAGCACGCAGATCATAAACATATTCTTCCAAGGCATTACGCGCGTCAACTCGTTCTTTTTCCTGTTTATCTTCAGCAATCATTTTGCCCTGTTCATGAACAAAATGCATGTAATTATATAATGATTCAATGTTACACCGACAAGTTTTTTTCGCTATAATTGTAGACAAAATTATGCAACGTTCGTAAAAGTTACGTAATGCTTGAGATATATCTTGAACGATACATACTTCTTTTTCTACTGCAGCATCAAGATCTCGTAGAGATAGTCCGCAAACATTAGCTTCAATAGGTAAATCGATTGTACGAATGGGAATCTTTTTTTTACTTTTATCATCGTTTTTATCGTCTCCCTAAAACAGAAAAAATTTGCTAAATATTTATCAACATATTTTGTTCGGCACTGTATTTTTTGTATGAACCCATAAAAAAATCGTTTACAAGAAAGTTTATTACTTGATTATTTTTCACAATTTCTTATTTAATAAGATTATTTTAATAAATAGATGTGAAAACTATGTGAAAACAGATATGCTTACATATATTGAAAAGTTTCATCTGCATAAACACTTACCTTATTTTACAATACTTTCTTGAAACGCTTTTTTGTTTTTAATGTGATTTTACATCTTTATGTGTATGTGTTTCTAATGTAAGAATACGAAATCAAGTAAATAAAATTTTTATAGAAAGAATTAAAATGGAATTCAGGTGATGATAAAGATGAGACAAGGATAATGGGGTATACACTTTCGTGTGTAGTTTAGAATCCGTATAGTATCGTTTCACTTAACAAAAATGTAATATAAAATAAGTTGATAATCTATACATTCATACCCATATAATGTACTAAATTGTTATTCTTTTTTTTTCTATACGAATTGAAAACTAATCAGTGTTGCCTGCCTTTATATTTTACGAATATTTGTGCTTTTATTAGCGATCACTGTCTCTTCCTTCTGCGACCCAGTGTACAGAATAGCAGAGTAAAGACAGACAGCACAGCTGTAACACAGCTGTTCTTGGACCCATATGCATTACCAAAAAAATGAAATGTTAAAGGACACCGACTATTACATACTGTAGTATTATTTCATATTTTATAAAAGAGCAAGCTCAATTTTTCTCTAGATTTTTATAGTGCCGTAGAATCGAGTTTGCAGAAGAAATCGACACAGGATCTAAAACATGAGCTTAAGCCAAACGCATCATGCAATACTTATAATAATCTACAGGTTTAGCTTACAAAATACAACACATAAAACTACTTGTTGTCTACTCACATTCTAATAAAAGTTAAGATGCATAAAAAATAATACAAAAATAATAAACATTTCTAAATCCTAAGATATAAAATAATTGCATTATAAATTAAAGGTATCAAGGATATTTTAATAAATTTCTCTCAAAATTACTTTATAGAAAAAATGAGGAATGAAAATCAAATTAATTACTCAATCAAAGCAATTAATCAAAATAAAATGTGCGAGAATGCGTTTAATATTGTCAAATTAATGACAAGTATATCGCTTGCATTATATAAGGCGATTATTGTAATTATTGTGCATTCATTGTTATGGTGACAGAGTCAGTCTAATTTCTGCTTTAAAATAAGCGATTAAGCTAGCATGATAGAAAGAATACTCAAGTTAATTGGCCCTAAATACAAAAAAGCTCGTAAAAACTCACAACAAAGCAACGATTAAGAGATCAGAGAATTTATCGCACATATATCTCAATATGGATGTATGCGTATGGGTCCAAGTAAGAGATAGTATGCCCCGTACCGAGCCGAACCAAGAGAGAATCCTGGAGGAGTAGGAAGGGGCAGAACCCCCAGCACCTTTTCCACCATCATCAGCATCTGAGTTCCGTCGTGTCTTATCCATGCTCACCTAAACCACAATAAACTCACATAGTCATGCACCTGAATGCTGGTAACGCACAAGATCGCACACCAGCATAGAATGATTCCAAACTTTACATACTCCATATACCGTAACATAATATTTATTGGCAAATCAGAATCACAATACTCTATTCTAAGACCGCTACCCCTTTTCATAAGCTTTAGAATATTACGACGAAATTACAAACCTCTGGAGCTGGTGGTTCGTTAGCCTGTGCATCTTGATCAGGTTTATCTTTTTTATCTGTCGC